AAAAGAAAGAAAGAAAAAAGGCGGGAGTAGAGTAGAGCAGTAGAGCATTGGCCTTCGAAGGAGACCACAGTGCAGAAATCTGGGTTCCAGGTAGGTTTTCCTTCCACATCTGTGTGATGCTTCCTTTCTAGAGGAATTGAAAAATTCCTGTTGCTCTGCGCCACCTCCCATTCCAAAAGCTGCTTTTATGAGCCCCTTGGAAGCAATGCACATGTGTTTACAAAGCCTGCCACTGGATCTGCCTGGAAAAAGAGGGTTCAGAAACAGAGCTCTGCTAGACATGAGAGAAGTCAAAGGTAACCCCAAACCCCCAGTCCTGAGCTTGTTTCCCTTGCTTTGTCTGAGCACTGTGGTCTGGTGAGGCTGGAGCTGTGGTCGTGGGTGGATGAGGGGACCTTGCTTTCTGCTCTGCACTGGGGGTTTGGGGTTGTTCCTGGCCTCTTCCTGTGCACAGTGGGTGTTTTGAAGGCCTCTGAGCTGGTGGGGCACGGACTGGGTCAGCTGTCCCCATGAGCACCTCTCCATCCTGTTCCACCTGGCTGGCTGAGCCCCCAGGGACCCCTCCACTTCTCCCGAGTGGCTCCAAAACCATTTTATATCTCTTGGAGGTCAGAGCTCAAGCTGGAGAATCCAGAAATGTTCCTGGAGCCAAAACACACCGTGGCAAGCCGGGTGTGTGCCTGGTCTCTGCTTCTCATTTCCTTCATTGCTGTGAGAGCAGTGGAGCTGCACATGGGGTTTCAGCAGGGTGTCCCCTCTTTTGTTCCTATATATTGGAACAGTCTGTGCATGTGGTTATGTTTAAAAACAATATATATATATGTTTCAGCATGGCCATTGGTGAGCTGTGCCCCTCAGGACTGGTCTGGTTGGACAAAGGAAGGATGTATTTCACAGCTGCCTACCTGTTGCACTGGCAGCTGTGTGATGGTCCTGCTGGTCCAGCCTTTCTTGCACTTGGAAATACAGGTGTTGGCAGGGAGTGATCCCAAACCTGCTCAGACCCAGCTAGGAAGGCTCCTTTTGAAGTGAGCAGGCTTTGGGGTAAGTCTGGCAGCACCAGTGGAGAGGCTCCATTGCTGGTATTTTTATCACAGCCCAAGCAGGCCCTTCCATGTGTGCCCATCTTGCATTTTCCATGCCCTCTTTCCCACGTGTTTGCTGGTGTGTTGGAATGGAACCAGATACAGCTTCTGGTGTTGGGGCTGGATGTTGGGCTTGTTTCCCATCCTCTGGGACAGCGAACACAAGGTCAAATGATGGCTGTGCCAACGGCAAAGTGGAGCAGCCATATAAACTTGTCATTTTAAATCATTGCCATAATGATTTCTCCTCCCTTTCTTCCACCCCTTCCCCATGTTCTTCCCCGTCACCATGTCTTTCCACACCCACAACCTGGGGGCTGCCTGGATCTCTTCAGGATTTATGCTAAAAGGGAAATGTTATGTACGTAATTAAACCTTCGTATTGCTGGATGGAAATGGGATTTGGTGCTTACCGCTGTGACTCTTTCTCATGCATGAGGGTGAACTGATTGATTACTGAGGTTTGAGATTAAATATTCCCCTGAGCTTCACTGGCATTTAGTGTGGTGGGGGGAGGGCAGAGGGAAGGGGTGGAGGGGAATTATGGTTTTCCTCCAAGGCAAGGAGAGTACGGGAATGTCTGCTGAGACCAAGACATCCCCTTGTCTTGGTCTGCAGCATTGGCTCTAAGAGGCTCCTGGCATTGGTGTCTTGGGCACCAATAAAGCAGGTGCTTCACTCCATATCCATGATATCGTGGATGGACTGCTGGTGGGCTTTGCAAGTCCCTCTCACTGCTGCCTTGAGCATCCCATAGCATCCTGCCCAGTCCCTGTGACTCCGCTGCATCCCCACCTGCCCACATCTCATTGCTGGCTCGCATCCCTCCCAGCCTAACAGCGGGGCAGACCCGCTGTCCCCGCCTTCCTCCTTAGGAGTGCACCTTATTTGTTTATTTTCCTTGAATTCTTTTAATCCAAAAACCCCTCTGTGTTTGGTTTCGATGGGAAGGGAGGAAAAACCCCCACGCGCCGCTCCTCGAGTGCGTGGTGGGCTGGAGGCGCTGCTTCCCTTGAAGTCTAATTTTAGCTGAAGGCGACGGGATCCCTCCAGGGCATGGCAGAGATTTCCTATCAGCTGCCTAGACCTTAAGAAACAACACACACAAACAAAAACAACCCTGAGAAGCACTTGGGGTTTATTTGGGTGAATTCTTTCAAAAAATGGGTGTGACTTATTTTTCTTTACGAGCATTCCCTGCGCATGCTGGCTTTGTTCTGCTGCAGTCGGGTATTTCAGGTCTTCCAAGATTTAATCAGAATAATTAGTTACTGTCTGTTTGTACCTTCTGTTTCTGTTGCAGGGTTACCAAAGGGCGTATTTATCTTCCAGAGGGCTTCCTAAGTGTCGCTTAATCATTAAAGCATCCGATTTCCTCCAAGTTATCTGTCATGAGGCTTATGTAAGTAAATAAATAAATGAAAGCAGGGAGGGTGGGGATGGTGTTGGTGGATTCAGCTTGAGGGGGGGTGGGTTGTACGGATTTTTCCTGATTGTCACGGGTTTAATTGTGAGTTGCCTGTGGTTCCCAGCCCGTCATGCGGTGATCAGAGGACTGAGTGTTTGGATTGGCGCTGAAAGACCCAGCCCGTTTAATGAGACTGCTCTCAGCCAAGCCTTCACCCCACTAAACTGGCAAGAGCTATGTTGCTCCCTGTCATTTCAGGAGCAGGGGGGAAAAAAAGGCCTTACAGGAATGAAAGGCTTTTGCTTTCACTCGCACAGTTACGGCTTTGACTCCTTAGCCCATTGGTATCCCTTATAAAAATCACAGCTCTGTCTGGAAATAAGTTACGACTGTAAGTTTGTCAGGATTGGGAATCAGCTGTTTTTCAGCCTGTATTTGCATGTTTGGTTTGGGAAGGGGGACTGTTAATGCACACATTTCCCATGTCTAACACAGGAGATGAGAAGGACAGGGAAGTCACTGCAGAGGAGGGTGGGAAGGCTGGGAAGCCTCGCAGGGAGAGCAGTGAGGTGCTGAACCTGGCCCTGGTTCATGCCTGAGTGAATTGTGGGATGTTTTCCCTTCAGTGCTTGTCACCGAGAGCAGATGAGTGGCCCTGTTCAGGTGGCAGTGTGGGGCTGGACAATTTGCTTTTTTCCCTTTGGTTTCTCTCTCTTCCTGAGCTGGTGTGGTAAGGGTTGGGTTCTGAGGTGCTGGCTTGTCAGCTGCCTTTGCTACCTCATTCATCATGTCCAATGTGCAACCCCTGGGAGTGAGGGTTTGGGGTGCGTGCTGCTTCCCTGATGGATTTAGATTTTTTTAAATCCAGAAGCAGCCTTTACCATCAGTTTTTCTGCTTTCCTGTGTGAGAGGGAGCATAAATTTTTGAGGTTCTGAGCCCTTTGTGGGGATACAGATGTGCAGCTGGGTTTTGTTCTCCTTCCCTGGGAGAAGCTCATGAAAGGGAAGGGACACTAAAGAGGATAAGGTGGGACCAAAGGGATCTCAAGGGCTTTGGTGGCTTCAGGGAAAATTGCTTGTGTGAAGGTTGAGGTTGAAGTCCATCTTCTCTCTGCGTTTGTTGGGGGAGAGTAGAGACGAGCCACGGTGATGGGGTATGTGTTGGACTCTGCTGTGGCAGAGCTGAAGCTGGGCATGATCCCCACATCCTGTCCCAGCTCTAGAGTAACAATTTGGAGTTACAAAACAAACTGGCAAATCCTCTGTCCCCTCTGGGACTGATGTGGTGGCTGTCACTACCAGCACCGTGTTGCCAGTGGACTTTGCTCGTTCTGCTCCGGTGTGCGTGGAGGTGGGAAAAGTCCTATTTGATGGAAATACTCATAAGAAAGCCTGTCAACCTGATTTTTTCCTTGATGTTTGCCCAGCTGGAAAGTCTGGTGGTGGTTCAGACAACACCTCCCGAAGCACTGGGAATGTGTGATGTGCAGCACAGCCATTGCTCCTGCCTGGCACTGTCCCTCCAGCCACAGTGAGGGGTGCAGGAGGGGGTGGCAGGTCTCTAATCCCCATCCTGCTGGTGTGTGCCTGCCTGCTTCGCTCAGCCTGTCACAGATCCGCTTGGTTTGGACTGAGGGAGAGGTGGGGAGGAGAAGCAGAGCTGCTGGGAGTGGAGGACAGTGGAAAGCGTGGAGGGGAAGGGAGGTGACAGAGTGGTGGAGAAGGATGCTGGGAAGAAAAGGAGATGATGTGGTTCATTTGCCTGGTGCTTTAGAAGTTGCTCAGTTAAATTAAGTGCTCACTAGGGAGCCTCATTTGGCTTTTAAATAGCTTTGGAGCATGTGAATGCTCTGTGTTGCTCTCTTCTTTCTGCAGTGTGAGCCACCTCCTGTCCCCATCTCTTTGAAAAGTATCCTGTTAAAAGTCTACCTTAGGATGTGGGAAGGGAGGCTTGGTGGTCACCTGCTTTCAAAAAGCCCTTCAAAGTTCTCTCCAAGCTCCTCATCATTCCAGACCATCCATCCTTTGTTTGTTTCCAGTCTGGACACTGTGAGCTTTGGTGATTGTGGCTGACCACAGGTTCCCTCTCCTGCAGAGGCCACGACATGCCAGGAGCTCTGGTGTTCATCACAGCACCAGCTGGTCTGGGATGAGCTGGCTGGTCTTCCACCACCTCTCCTTGAGCATCCCACTTAAGGCAGGGGATGATTCTGCTTTGGCTTTCCTGCTCTTTTGCAGGGCTGTGTATTTCTTCTTCCAGCCAGCTGAAAACCTGCTCCAAGAGACTGGAGAATTATTTTGTCCCTTGGTTGTCCCTTGGTGCAGAGCTGGATGTTATATGTGCACTTGATCATCCTGCTACCTGGTAAAGGAAATTCATTGTGCTTAGTTTTATTTAATTTCTGTACAAAATTAAAGCCTCTCAAGCTGTTTCCTTTTCTTTGTCTCCAGAGTAACACACTGTGATGGAAGGTGCCAAAGGCAGGCACAAATCCTGGGGATGGGGATGGCAAACAGTGTTTGGTCTCCAAAAAACTCTGTCTCAGTCAAGGATGGGGAATATTCCCCACACCATAGCCACTTTGGGGGGTTCAGCTGTGTCCCCCTGGGCAAGCAGATCGTGGCCACCAGGTGCCACTGAGGTGTCCCCAGACGTGGGGCTCCTTCCCTGCTCTGGTCCTTCACCATGTGCCCACCAGCCACTTCCAGACGTGGTGGGGGAAGTTTTGGGAGGAGCACACCCCGTTTTCCTCATAAAACTCCAAACAAGAGGCTTGGCCTGGTTTAGATTTTAAAAATAACTTGCACATTTGGAAGCTAAAGTTTCAGAAGGGCTCCAAACGGGATAATGGCTTTGATCGTGACAGTCCAAGATCAAGGGAGGGCTTTTTCGGTTTGCTGCATCAGCTGGAAAATATATTGTAGTGTCTAGACTTTATCATCCTCGAGGAAGGCTCTTTTTCCCTACTCTACAAAAGTTCTAATCCAAAGCCCATGTACAGTTGATAGGAGGGGCTTTGATTGTGTCCAAGAGCATGTTGAAAGAGGTGGAGATGAGCTTTGGACTTTGAAGGACTCAGACCCTGCTTTGTTTCCGATGAGGCTGTCGGCACGATGGAAGTTGTGTCAGCAGTGGGATGGGGACCAGCTGTGTGCCAGTCCCCCCTCCCCAGAGCGGTCAGCTCCTGCAGCTGAGCACTGCTGAGACCCCAGTGCTCATCCTCTGGCTGCTGTGCTTGTGGTCAGCTGCTCAGAACAAAATCTCCCACAGCTGTCTCAGTTTTCTCTGCGTAATAACCATAAACGTTTGATGGCGTGTGGACAGGACTTCAGCATTTTTAGCTTGAAATATAGAAAAAGTGTAGAAAATGTATGGTTTTCTCTCCTTACCATTCTGTAAGTGGGTTTTAATTTTTTTTTAATAATTTTGCTGAATTCTTTTATTATTATTATTTTTTTTTTAAAATTCCAAAAGAGAGGCAGGGAAGGTTCTTCTTGAGTTTCCTGGAATAAACTCAAAAGCCTGCTGAGAATGTGAGGACATCTGGCCACATGTATTTATAGAATCATTAAAGTTGGAAAAGTCCTCCAAGATCGTTGAGTCCAATCTTGGATCAAACACCATCTTGTCAACCAGACCATAGCCCTGAGTGCCACACACAGTTGTTTCTTGAACGCCTCCAGGGATGGTGACTCCACCACCACCCTGGGCACTCTGTCCCAGTACTTAACAACCCTTTCAGTGAAAGAAATTCTTCCTGATGTCCAGCCTGATCCTCTCCTGACATAGCTTGAGGCCATGTCCTTTTATCCTGTCCCATGTTCCCTGGGAGCAGAGCCTGAGCCCCAGCTGGCTGCACCCTCCTGTCAGGGAGTTGTAGAGTGAGAAGCTGAGCTTCCTTTTCTCCAGGCTGAGCCCCCCCCAGCTGCTCCTCATTAGATTTATTCTCCAGACCCCTCCCCAGCTCCCTTCCCTTCTCTGGACACCTTTATGACCTTCTTCTTGTGAGGGGCACAGAACTGGACACAGCACTCGAGGTGTGGCCTCAGCAGTGCTCAGCACAGAGGGACTAACTCTTCCTGAAAGCCCAGGTAGCAGTCTAGCTCCTCATTCACATTGGAATATTCCCTGTGGAGGAAGCAGAGGCAGTTTTTCTTTGAAACACTGTGTTTTCTGTGCAGGGCCCTGGGTGGGGGGGTTTTGGCAGGTGTGTCACTGGCAGAGCCACCAGCAGCCATCTCCTTGGTGTCTCTGCTGCAGCACACCATGATGTCTCAATGCCTGAGGCTTTGGAGGGGTTGCAGCCTCGTTATGAAAGCTTCATCTGGAAGCTTTGAGAAACATTTGGAAATGTTTTGGAAAATATTTGGATCGAGGATGCCATAGGTCTGTGCTTGGTTGTTTCACTTTGCTTTGTCCTTGAGCAAGAAAACTGTTGGGTTTCTGGTTTTTTCTTTCCATCAGTTATTCTTTTAGACAAACTTATTTCCAGGGATAAATCAGAGCAAATGCCAGTGTGAAAATAGTTTGTGGTGTAACATGGTACTGAAATTTTGCTGGAAGGGATCTTGAGAGGTTACCTTGTCCCCAAGGGTAACTGAATACACTTAGCAGTCTGGAAAGGGATTGTCTTTGCTGGGAGTTGTTTTGTCATAAAATATCTCAGGAGCAGAGGCAAAAATCTACCAAATAACACTGTCAGTATGTATGCATGAGCCTTCTTCAGTTTATTCAAATCATTTGCTGAATAAGTGTTGAAAATTAATGCTGGGTTTGTTCCCAGAGCTATTCAAAGTAATATTCCAGAATAACCTTTTCCACCTTGGCATGTGCCAACATATTAAAAGCTTTATGGATGAATTGCAGTTACCCACAGTCTGTATTTGACATGGAGCCATCCCTGTTTTGCCCCATTTCTGAGACAACCAGTCACCAGAAGTCCCACTGGGATGAAGAGCAGGTTTTTCTCTGTTTCTTGTGAATTAGTTGTGAC